CTATCTCTGATGCCCCTATCACTGTAGGATCTGGATGCCAAATGTTAGGTAACCAAAGGACCATTTCACTGTTCTCAGTGAAACTGAATATCAATAAACTCAGACCTCTTGCTCGCTGCCTTTGAGCTGTGTGGCTGACTCTGGGTTTCTCTGGCAGCAAAGAGTTGGTGCTGCGGGTAGAAGATTTATCCATGTCTGTTCTCTAGGGCAGTTGGTGAGTCGTTCCCTGGAGCCCTGTTCGTCAGATATAGCAACTCCTTCCCACCCCACCCTCTGCTGCCTCTATTGCCCATTAATAGTAAAGTTATCGGAGGTCTTTGTCATCGGGTGTCTTTTTTTTTTTTTTGCCAGCCAATGGCTATCACAGGAAATAAATACCCCCTTCTCAAGCCTTACCTGTTGCTTGCAGCTTTCATATTATCAGGGGCAGCAGTAGTCATAGGAGGTTCATGAATGAGAATGGAGAAGATTTATAACCATATGGGGTGGAAGGATGGCCTAGTGCATTGGGGATCCATTTAGCCATTGCAATGCCCTATATTGCAGTGCCTAACTTTTAGTTGACCTGCCACCCAAGGGAAACCACAGATCCTCTGTTTGGTGCCCCAGATCCCCATACAATGCCTGGGGAGAGGTAGATGCCTGAGGGTGGATGCACAAAGCCAGCACACTAGGTGGGGAGCTGCCTAAGCCAGCCAGTAGCAGATGCCAAGGAGAGGGATGTGTTCTAGCAGGGAGTTTTGTGCCTAAGTCCAGGCAGAAAGGAAGTGCCTAGCTCTTCTAGCAATTCACTGCCAGGAGCGCCTCTTCTGGAGCCAGGCATCTAAGGGTATGTCTACACTACGGAATAAGGTCGAATTTATAGAAGTCGGTTTTTTAGAAATCGGTTTTATAAATTCGAGTGTGTGTGTCCCCACAGAAAATGCTCTAAGTGCATTAAGTGCATTAACTCGGCGGAGCGCTTCCACAGTACCGAGGCAAGCATCGACTTCCGGAGCGTTGCACTGTGGGTAGCTATCCCACAGTTCCCGCAGTCTCCGCTGCCCATTGGAATTCTGGGTTGAGATCCCAATGCCTGATGGGGCTAAAACATTGTCGCGGGTGGTTCTGGGTACATATCGTCAGCCCCCCGTTCCCTCCCTCCCCCCGTGAAAGCAAGGGCAGACAATCATTTCGCGCCTTTTTTCCTGAGTTACCTGTGCAGACGCCATACCATGGCAAGCATGGAGCCCGCTCAGGTAACCGTCACCCTATGTCTCCTGGGTGCTGGCAGACGCGGTACGGCATTGCTACACAGTAGCAGCAACCCCTTGCCTTGTGGCAGCAGACGGTACAGTACGACTGGTAGCCGTCATCGTCATGTCTGAGGTGCTCCTGGTCGCCTCTGTGAGGTCGATCAGGAGCGCCTGGGCAGACATGGGCACAGGGACTAAATTTGGAGTGACTTGACCAGGTCATTCTCTTTAGTCCTGCAGTCAGTCCTATTGAACCGTCTTATGGTGAGCGGGCAGGCGATACGGACTGCTAGCAGTCGTACTGTACCATCTTCTGCCGAGCAGCCATGAGATGTGGATGGCATGCAGTCCTTCTGCACCGTCTGCTGCCAGCCAAAGATGTAAAAGATAGATGGAGTGGATCAAAACAAGAAATAGACCAGATTTGTTTTGTACTCATTTGCTTCCCCCCCTCCCCTGTCTAGGGGACTCATTCTTCTAGATCACACTGCAGTCACTTACAGAGAAGGTGCAGTGAGGTAAATCTAGCCATGTATCAATCAGAGGCCAGGCTAACCTTCTTGCTCCAATAAGGACAATAACTTAGGTGCACCATTTCTTATTGGAACCCTCCGTGAAGTCCTGCCTGAAATACTCCTTGATGTAAAGCCACCCCCTTTGTTGATTTTAGCTCCCTGAAGCCAACCCTGTAAGCGCCCCTCCCAGCGTCAGAGCAATGGCAAACAATCGGGCATCTGAGAGTGCTGTCCAGAGCAGTCACAATGGAGCACTCTGATGGGGCTAAAACATTGTCGCGGGTGGTTCTGGGTACGTGTCGTCAGGCCCCCGTTCCCTCCCTCCCTCCATGAAAGCAAGGGCAGACATTCATTTCGCGCCTTTTTTCCTGAGTTACCTGTGCAGACGCCATACCACAGCAAGCATGGAGCCCACTCAGGTAACCGTCACCCTATGTCTCCTGGGTGCTGGCAGACGTGGTACGGCTTTGCTGCACAGTAGCAGCAACCCATTGCCTTCTGGCAGCAGACGGTGCAATACGATTGGTAGTCGTCCTCGTCGTGTCCGAGGTGCTCCTGGCCACGTCGGCTGGGAGCGCCTGGGCAGACATGGGCGCAGGGACTAAATTTGGAGTGACTTGACCAGGTCATTCTCTTTAGTCCTGCAGTCAGTCCTATTGAACCGTCTTATGGTGAGCGGGCAGGCGATACGGACTGCTAGCAGTCGTACTGTACCATCTTCTGCCAGGCAGGCAAGAGATGAGGATTGCTAGCAGTCGTATTGCACCATCTTCTGCCAGGCAGGCAAGAGATGGGGATGGCTAGCAGTCGTACTGTACCATCTTCTGCCGAGCAGCCATGAGATGTGGATGGCATGCAGTCCTTCTGCACCGTCTGCTGCCAGCCAAAGATGTAAAAGATAGATGGAGTGGGTCAAAACAAGAAATAGACCAGATTTGTTTTGTACTCATTTGCCTCCACCCCTGTCTAGGGGACTCATTCCTCTAGGTCACACTGCAGTCACTCACAGAGAAGGTGCAGCGAGGTAAATCTAGCCATGTATCAATCAGAGGCCAGGCTAACCTCCTTGTTCCAATAACAACGATAACTTAGGTGCACCATTTCTTATTGGAGCCCTCCGTGCAGTCCTGCCTGAAATACTCCTTGATGTACAGGCACCCCCTTTGTTGATTTTAGCTCCCTGAAGCCAACCCTGTAAGCCGTGTCGTCAGTCGCCCCTCCCTCCGTCAGAGCAACGGCAGACAATCGTTCCGCGCCTTTTTTCTGTGCGGACGCCATACCAAGGCAAGCATGGAGCCCGCTCAGCTCACTTTGGCAATTAGGAGCACATTAACCACCACACGCATTATTCAGCAGTATATGCAGCACCAGAACATGGCAACGCGATACCGGGCGAGGAGGCGACGTCAGCGCGGTCCCGTGAGTGATCAGGACATGGACACAGATTTCTCTGAAAGCATGGGCCCTGACAATGCATGCATCATGGTGCTAATGGGGCAGGTTCATGCTGTGGAACGCCGATTCTGGGCTCGGGAAACAAGCACAGACTGGTGGGACCGCATAGTGTTGCAGGTCTGGGACGATTCCCAGTGGCTACGAAACTTTCGCATGCGTAAGGGCACTTTCATGGAACTTTGTGACTTGCTTTCCCCTGCCCTGAAGCGCATGAATACCAAGATGAGAGCAGCCCTCACAGTTGAGAAGCGAGTGGCGATAGCCCTGTGGAAGCTTGCAACGACACCAGACAGCTACCGGTCAGTTGGGAATCAATTTGGAGTGGGCAAATCTACTGTGGGGGCTGCTGTGATGCAAGTAGCCCACGCAATCAAAGATCTGCTGATATCAAGGGTAGTGACCCTGGGAAATGTGCAGGTCATAGTGGATGGCTTTGCTGCAATGGGATTCCCTAACTGTGGTGGGGCTATAGACGGAACCCATATCCCTATCTTGGCACCGGAGCACCAAGCCGCCGAGTACATAAACCGCAAGGGGTACTTTTCGATAGTGCTGCAAGCTCTGGTGGATCACAAGGGACGTTTCACCAACATCAACGTGGGATGGCCGGGAAAGGTGCATGATGCTCGCATCTTCAGGAACTCTGGTCTGTTTCAAAAGCTGCAGGAAGGGACTTTATTCCCAGACCAGAAAATAACTGTTGGGGATGTTGAAATGCCTATATGTATCCTTGGGGACCCAGCCTACCCCTTAATGCCATGGCTCATGAAGCCATACACAGGCAGCCTGGACAGTGGTCAGGAGCTGTTCAACTACAGGCTGAGCAAGTGCAGAATGGTGGTAGAATGTGCATTTGGACGTTTAAAGGCGCGCTGGCGCAGTTTACTGACTCGCTTAGACCTCAGCAAAACCAATATTCCCACTGTTATTACTGCTTGCTGTGTGCTCCACAATATCTGTGAGAGTAAGGGGGAGACGTTTATGGTGGGGTGGGAGGTTGAGGCAAATCGCCTGGCTGCTGGTTACGCGCAGCCAGACACCAGGGCGGTTAGAAAAGCACAGGAGGGCGCGGTACGCATCAGAGAAGCTTTGAAAAACAGTTTCATGACTGGCCAGGCTACGGTGTGAAAGTTCTGTTTGTTTCTCCTTGATGAACCCCCCCGCCCCTTGGTTCACTCTACTTCCCTGTAAGCTAACCACCCGCCCCTCCTCCCTTCAATCACCGCTTGCAGAGGCAATAAAGTCATTGTTGCTTCACATTCATGCATTCGTTATTCATTCATCACACAAATAGGGGGATGACTACCAAGGTATCCCAGGAGGGGTGGTGGAGGAGGGAAGGAAAATGCCACACAGCACTTTAAGCACAGCACTTTAAAAGTTTACAACTTTAAAATTTATTGAATGACAGCCTTCTTTTTTTTGGGCAATCCTCTGTGGTGGAGTGGCTGGTTGGCCGGAGGCCCCCCCACCGCGTTCTTGGGCGTCTGGGTGTGGAGGCTATGGAACTTGGGGAGGAGGGCGGTTGGTTACGGAGGGGCTGCAGTGGCAGTCTGTGCTCCAGCTGCCTTTGCTGCAGCTCAACCATACACTGGAGCATACTGGTTTGGTCCTGCAGCAGCCTCAGCATTGAATCCTGCCTCCTCTCATCACGCTGCCGCCACCTTTGAGCTTCAGCCCTGTCTTCAGCCCGCCACTTACTCTCTTCAGCCCACCACTTACTCTCTTCAGCCCTCCACCTCTCCTCCCGGTCATTTTGTGCTTTCCTGCACTCTGACATTATTTGCCTCCACGCATTCGTCTGTTTCAAAAGCTGAATCCTGAATCAAAAGCTGGTCCCTGTCAGTGTGGGAGGACAGCATGAGCTCGGAGAACATTTCATCGCGAGTGCGTTTTTTTTTCTTTCTAAGCTTCACTAGCCTCTGGGAAGGAGAAGATCCTGTGATCATTGAAACACATGCAGCTGGTGGAGAAAAAAAAAGGGACAGCGGTATTTAAAAAGACACATTTTATAAAACAGTCGCTACACTCTTTCAGGGTAAACCTTGCTGTTAACATTACATACATAGCACATGTGCTTTCGTTACAAGGTCGCATTTTGCCTCCTCCCACCGCGTGAACGGATTTTGGTTGAATGCCAGCAAACATACACTGCAATGCTTTGTTCTACAGTGATTCCCCAGTACGTGTTGCTGGCCTGGAGTGGTAAAGTGTCCTACCATGAAGGACGAAATAAGGCTGCCCTCCCCAGAAACCTTTTGCAAAGGCAGAACCGCAAATGCCAGGGCAAAGTAATCCTTTCACATGCTTGCTTTTAAACCATGTATAGCATTTTAAAAGGTACACTCACCAGAGGTCCCTTCTCTGCCTGCTGAGTTCAGGAGGCAGCCTTGGGTGGGTTCGGGGGGTACTGGCTCCAGGTCTAGGGTGAGAAACAGTTCCTGGCTGTCGGGAAAACCGGTTTCTCCGCTTGCTTGCTGTGAGCTATCTACAACCTCCTCATCATCATCTTCTTCGTCCCCAAAACCTACTTCTGTATTGCCTCCATCTCCATTGAAGGAGTCAAACAACATGGCTGGGGTAGTGGTGGCTGAACCCCCTAAAATGGCATGCAGCTCATCATAGAAGCGGCATGTTTGGGGCTCTGACCCAGAGCGGCTGTTCGCCTCTCTGGTTTTCTGGTAGGCTTGCCTCAGCTCCTTCAGTTTCACGCGGCACTGCTTCGGGTCCCTGTTATGGCCTCTGTCCTTCATGCCCTGGGAGATTTTCAGAAAGGTTTTGGCATTTCGAAAACTGGAACGGAGTTCTGATAGCACGGATTCCTCTCCCCAAACAGCGATCAGATCCCGTATCTCCCGTTCGGTCCATGCTGGAGCTCTTTTGCGATTCTGGGACTCCATCATGGTCACCTGTGCTGATGAGCTCTGCATGGTCACCTGCAGCTTGCCACGCTGGCCAAACAGGAAATGAGATTCAAAAGTTTGCGGTTCTTTTCCTGTCTACCTGGCCAGTGCATCTGAGTTGAGAGCGCTGTCCAGAGCGGTCACAATGGAGCACTCTGGGATAGCTCCCGGAGGCCAATACCATCGAATTGTGTCCACAGTACCCCAAATTCGAGCCGGCAACGTCGATTTAAGCGCTAATCCACTTGTCAGGGGTGGAGTAAGGAAATCGATTTTAAGAGCCCTTTAAGTCGAAATAAAGGGCTTCATTGTGTGGACGGGTGCAGGTTTAAATCGATTTAACGCTGCTAAATTCAACCTAAAGTCCTAGTGTAGACCAGGGCTAAGTTGTTTCTTGCAAGATTGGTGGTGGCACATACCTAACCACACAGCAGATGGCCATTGGGTGTGGGGGAGAGAGGACTGCACCCATGGGGCATCTAGCCCAGGAGTTTGAGATGTCCCATGGAGACCACAGCTCAGCTCCCCTCTCTTCCTGGTAGGGAGCAGGGTTTGAACAGGGGTTCCCCCCTCAGCGGGATACCCCCACCACTGGGCTATGGAGCGGGTCCCACATTCTCTCCGGACCAAGGCATGTTTCATTATGGATGCAAAGTCAAACGGCTGCAGCAGGAGAGATGGAGAGAGCCCCATGTCAGGTTATCCCGTAGCCCAGAGGTTTGGGCGCTCCCCTGAGAGGGAACAGATCCCTGTTTGGGCCCCTTCTCCTCAGGCAGAGGGGGGACTTGAACTGGCTACTGTCATATCCCAGCTGAGTGCCTTAACCAATGGTTTGAAGGAGACTTTTGCCTCCCCACCCCACCAGCTGTGTTGGGTGGAATGACGTATGCTCTGAGGACACCTACAGGATCGGGCCCTGCAGGTGAGCTCGGTGGGGGAATGTCCAACTTCACCTGCTTTGAGGTTCCCGCTGGGGCTTAGCCGTGAGCTAGGCATCTGGGTGCCTGCCTGAGGCAGCAACTTAGGTGCCAACAGGGTTATTCAGCAGCTGAGTGTGGGGTTCTGTGGATCATGGGTGCGTCTAAGGCCTGGTCTACACTAGAAAGTTAGGTCGACATAAGTCAACTTGCATCGCTCTATCTGTGCATGTGTCTACACTTTTGCCTCTGGCTGACATAAGCACCCCGTTCAGGTGATGCAGTAAAACCACCTCCCTGAGTGGCATTGAGCCATGGTCGACCTACAGAGGTTGATGCTGCATGAGTGTAGACCAGGGTCGGCAACCTTTCAGAAGTGGTGGGCCAAATCTTCATTTATTCACTTTAATTTAAGGTTTTGCGTGCCAGTAATACATTTTAATGTTTTTAGAAGGTCTCTCTCTCTCTATGTCTATATATTATATAACTAAACTACTGTCGTGTGTACAGTAAACAAGGTTTTCAAACTGTTTAAGAAGCTTCATTTAAAATGAAATTAAAATGCTGATCTTGTGCCGCCGGCCCGCTCAGCCCATTGCCAGCCTGGGGTTCCATTCACCTAGGCCAGCAGCAGGCTGTGCTGGAGTCAGGGCTGGGGTCGTGGGGGGTGCAGGGGTCAGGGCAGGGGGCTGGGTGTGTGGGGGGGGGCTGCTGGGGTCAGGGCAGAGGGCTGGGGTGTGTGTGGGGGGGTGTAGGGGTCAGGACAGAGGGCTGGTGGTGTGGGCTAGGGTTGTGGGGATGCTCCCAGCACCCTGCCCAGAGCAGCTCACAGCAGGGGCTGGAGGGGATATGTCCTAATTTCACCCCCTTCCCCAAGGCCCTGTCCCCACCTCTTCTCCACCTCCTCCCTGGAGCAGCTAGCTGCTGTGGCTCCGCTTCTCCCCCATCAGCCATCAGCTGATCTGCGGCAGGGAGGCAGAGGAGGAGGGGCAGGAACCCAGCACGCAGGGGGAAGAGGCGGGGGAAGGGGGAGCTTGCCTGCCCTGCAACAGTAGCCGGCAGGACCAAGCTTCTTCACCCTGCCCCCGCGGGGCCGGGGGGGGGGCAGAGAAGAGTGGGCCGGGGGGGCAGGATTTTTAATGGCACACTGCTGGCTGCCGGGATCCCGGCCGCCGGCCCCGCTCAGCCTGCTGCTGGCCTGGGTTCAGCAGCGGGCTGAGCGGGGCCGGTGGCTGGGACCCGACAGGCAGCAGCGTGCCATTAAAAAGCGGCTCACATGCCGTCTTTGGCATGTGTGCCATAGGTTGCCGACCCCTGGTGTAGACATTGCATGACCTGTGTCAACCCTAACAGTCCTCCAGCAGCTGTCCCACAATGCCTCATTCCATGCAACAATGACTGTACTTGTCACAATGGTGAACTCAACTGCCTCGGGGAGACCAGAAGCCACACACCCTTTTTAAATCCCTGCGTATTTTTTGAAATGCCTTTTCCTGATTGCCCACCTAGGAGCTCTCCCTTGTTGTGTGCAGCTGCCCAACCAACCATGCCTGCTACACGCTCCAGGCACGCTCATAAGAGAAGAGGTAGAGGTACAACAAACAGAGGTAGAGTTTGTATCTGCTTTTCATCCCCCTTTGGGAGTTAGGAGGGCCATGTGGAGCAATCTGTTTATGTGCATAAGGATGTCCCTTGTATCCTCCTGTAAGATCCTGATCAAACTTTCATGGAAATGCTCTGCAAACTTCTTCCGAAGGTTTCTAGGCATGGCTGCCTTATTCCTTCCTCTGCAGTAGGACACTTTTCCATGCCACTCCACAATGAGTTCGGCGGCCGCCATTGCAGTATACAGGCTAGCAACATATGGGCCTGGGCAGGTTTGAGACACCAGTAGCAGCTGTGTTCTCTGTGCCTCTGTGACCCTCAGGAGTGAGATACCAGCTAAGACCACCACCACTTAGGGTGACCACCAATCCTGAATTGCGTGGGACAGTCCTTAAATGCAGAGTTCAAGACCCAGTCCTGGCTGCATGACTCCAGGACAGCATTTGTCCTGGATTCCCTGCACCACAGCTCCGTGCCTGCCCGAGGCTCAGGGGCGGCACCAGCCTCCTTCCGGGGGGTGCTGAGGTGGGCGTTAACCCGCCGCTCGCCACAAGGACCCGCCCCCTGCTCCTCCTCTCCCTGTCCCCCCTCCCCCTGAGGCCCTGTCCCCTGGCCAGGCCAGAAGCCAGAGCCGGGCAGTAGTAAGAGCCACCCAGGGATCCCAGGCCACTGTGAGGAGGCCTGGACCCACCACCTGCCCTGAGTGGCATGCCCCAGGGGGTGGGGACATGGGCTGGAGGCTGCTCTCGGGCACCCCACCCAGAGCAGGCAGAGGGTCCAGGGCTCCCCACAGTAGCCCGGGCTCCCGGGGTGGCTCTTACATTGGGCTGGCTCTCACTTCTGGCCTGGCTAGGGGGTGGGGCCTTGGGAGAAGAGGAGGAGCAGGGGGGTGCGGGCTCAGGGGAAGAGGAGGGGCGGGGCTCGTGCATGTGTCCCACTTTTGCCTTTTGAAAAGGTGGTCACCCTACACTGTCTGTGACAAATAGTGCCAATAATCAGTGCCCTTGCCCTATAATCATATCCCTGGAATGGGGCCTGAAATATTATAGCTTTGGGCAACAGAAAATCCTTCTCCCCCACCCCCCAGTAGGCCATACTCCACGTGGCTGGAGGTGGAAAGCGGTGTTGTACCAAGGTGATCCAAAACTTCCAGTGTCACTAAGCATGTCTTCTTAAAAGTGTTGATGGGAATAAGGGAAGGTAGTTTTGAAACTTACCTTTCCCTTTCCACTGTGACTGTAAATGATACATCTGTCTCTTTCATCAGCAGCTTCTAGCATGGTGTCCTTTGAGGTGTGCCCCCTCTGCACCCACAGAAGGCCTGACCCTGATGAGGAGGAGAAAGACGAGGACAAGGGAGGACATGTTCGGTGAGATCCTGCAAGCCAGTGTGGCAACAGAGGGCCTGGAGGGCTGACGTGGCAGATGGCATGGAAAAGGGTGGAGCGAACAGGAGAATGGCCCAGGAATCCCAGCATGAAAAGGAGAGGGAGATGCACCAGGACAAAATGGGCCTTCTCAGGCAGCAAACTCAAATGCTGCAGACCCTGGCTGACCTACTGATCTTCTGGGAGGGAGCAGATGTTCCCATGCCACTGTCCCAGCATCTCTTTGAGGAGCGCCCACCACTGCCACTCCACGTGGGGTACAGGGTCAAGGGGGCAGAACCCCATGAATGGCCCTGAAGTGTCTGAACCTAGCCCTGAGAGTCAACAGAGCTTTATGGAGATTAAAAGTGTCTCTTTCCACAGGCTCCTGGGAACAGCCCTGCTCAGAGTAGTGACTCCTGGAGGGACCAGCACTAGCTGCTGTAGAGGGAGGGGCAGTGCCCCCCAATTAACAATTCTTCACTGACCTCCATGTCAGGGAGGTTCCCTGTGAGTTAGTGGCTGGCGGGAGACCTGCTCCAATGTGGTTTAATTCATTCTCCGATCTAATGTAAATGTGAAGGCTCTTGTGATCCCTGTCAATGATTCACCTTGATGGTCTCTTTGTCTGAGTGATACCTTGTGGCAGGGAGTTCTCCAGTTTAACTGTGTATTGAGCAGGATTGGGCGGAGCCCACCCTGGAGTCACTGTTCAGAAGAGCGGAGCTGGGCCAGGCAGAGGAAGGAGGAGAGTAGGGAAGGAAGAAAGTGGTGGCCTGGGTTAGCCAATGGGAAGATGGAGGAGAGAATGGGCTGGTGTTTGGAGGTGGGGTGGAAGGGAAAAGTGGTGGTGGGCTGTTCCCTGGGTCTGGGGCCATGTCAGGGGAGTGGGGCTGAGCAGAGGAGGGGACCGGTGGGCAGAGAGGTTAAGCAGGGATCTCTGAGGAAGCTGAGTCACAAACTCTGGGTGGGGAACTTGGCTCTGGCCCATGGTAGGGGGAATCTCAAAGGACAGGGGCTGGAAAGGGCTGTGGGATGGAAAGTTCTGAGTGGAGAACAAGGGTATTAGGGACTGTGGGTGTTTGTTTGGGGGGGTCTGGGCTGTGTGAGACAGAGGGAGGGAGATACACAGGGACTAGGGTAAGAGGTGTTCAGTGGATGGAGGACAAGGTGGGGGCTGGAGTCAAAAGGCCTGAATCTCCTCTTCCTTAGACCAGCTGTACTGCATCATAACTCCACTCAGTTACCCTGGGGTGTAGGGGAGTCAGCCCCATTGAATTACTCCTGACTGAGTATGGGTCGTGTCAGCCCCATTGCCTGCAATGGAGTTACTTCTAACTTGGGGCTCAGATCCTCACAGCAGGGTCTCCAGTGCTTGATGGTTACTCCACCAGAGTGCAGGCCAGATACCAGCCCTTTGGGGGAAATCAAGTTACAATGCTATTAGCCATAGTGTGTAGCTTTCCA